CTAGCTACAGGATGCCCTTATTCAAACTGTGATTTAATTTAGTAATATACAAACTCTCCTATCAATTTCCCCATTACATTGGTAATCATTGGGTCCCTGGTGCTGAAAGCTTTGTTGCAGCCAGCAAGGGTGGCTGGATGCCACCCACGCATGGCCACCATGCACAGCACATTCCTGTACACCAGCACTTCTCCCGTGGCCTGGATCTGGACACCCTGCCCCCTGGCTTTCTTGGCAATGCCATCGCAACACTGAGCCACTGTGGAGCGACAGTGAGATCCTACCGACGTCCCCCACCACTGCTTGCCACCACCCTCTGGCTAAAGGCTATCGGTACCCACTCCTGCACTATTTCTAGGCTCTGTTCCTGCCTCTGCAGCCACCCAACAAGTGATATCATCAGCCTTATGGTCTCAACTTACACTGTTTACCAAGCAGAATGAACATTTTAACAACTGCTATAATCTTAAAATTATACACTGGCTGAATGACTTCAAATTTCCTGCTTTTTGGGGCATTTCTTTAATGCATGGTTTTCTACTTCAACACAAGACACTTCCATTTTAATCGGAAATTTTCCTGTGGGGTCCACTGAAGTCTCTATTTTCTTCTGGTGCCTACCCACAGGTTTCGGACTCTGACTTAAAAATGAGTCTAAGTTTTCCATGTAAAAGTAACTTAAAGGAGAGTTTACTCTCCTCAGAGACTATTTCCCCTCACTCCCAAATCCTATGGCAACAGTGGGGAGTGGGGATGGGAAAGGGGTGGCGGCAATAATCAACTACAGCCCGTAGTGGAAATTAAGTGGTTGGGTTCTCTCTCTCTCTCTCCCCCCCCCCATTATTACTTTACCTACAGCGTTCATACACAGATATAAAATTGTTTCATTTCTGACCCAGATTCTGGCTTTGAGTATTATTACATCTTCCCAAACTCCATATTTCTTCATATTTCACCAGGAGGATTATAAACTTATCTGAAATGATAGAAATTCATTTTGTTTTCATCTTCTCATTCTGCTATATGCTGCTGAAAAGCAGTACATAATAAGAAGTAGAGCAACAACCTGGCCTGATGCCCAGCTGGGAGCAGATAAGTTTACCTAAAAAGGACTTGATGCTCCAAACGCCAAAAACTGAAAAGAGGATTGGAAGCGGGGTAGGAAGACCTGGAAACATGCCCATGGGTACAAATGAAGAAACTGAATTCGGCCTGAGGGGGAACCTTCTGCCCAGCCTCTGTCAGCTTGATGCCTCATTATCCTCCCCATCTTCCCTAACCTCAGGACATTCAATTAGGGAGCAGGTGGAAAAAGCAACTGAGAAAGCTAGGCAATACAAAAAAGTTAGGAACTAGGGGGAGGAGGGAGTTAAAGTATTTAGTGTAGACAAGATTCAATAGCTGGGATGTGACAGTTTGGGTGGACAGATACATACTTGTAATTCTACATACTGAACACACAATCATGTCATGCCACTTTCAACTGTTCCCCATCATCCACTTAATCTCAGGTAGCCTTTTTACTCTTCTCCTATCCTTCCTCCATACATCCCAGACTCCAATCATCCAAAATTACTTTCTATTCTCCAAACAAGCCACTCTTCCAAGCCTTCAAGCCTTTGAACATGTTGGTCCCCTGCTTGGTGTGTCCATCACCCACTCCCCCACATAAAAAACTCCTACTGTTTCTTCATGACTCAGGTCAAATGCAACCTCCTCTGAGGCCAAAGTCAGCATTAATTACCCTGTACAAATTGGTCACTTATCACAGTAGTGCTTAAGAGTACAGCCTCTGGGGTCCGAGGGACTTGAGTTTGAATCTTTTTTTTTTTTAAGATTTTTATTGGGGAATTGGGGGAAGGGTAACACATAAGTTGCTGTCCTTTTGTTCTTCAGTCTAGTTGTAGAGGACGTTGCTTCACTGGCCCAAGTTGGCACCATCATTGCGTTCTTCCCGGAGGAGGCAGATCAGTCGCCGGCTTCTGGACGGCCGCTCATAGCGGCTGCTGGCCACTCACGCTGGTTGCTGGCTACACGGTAGCCCATGGCAACCCACAACAGCAGGGGCTACAGCCTACGTCGTCGTAGGCGACTCACGGCAGCCCAGCTCCAGGTTGAGCTGTTGATCAGCATCTTAGCTATAGAGGGCAGTGTCACTGGCCCTCATATGTGGATCCAAACCGGGGCCCTCTGGCATCCCAAGCCAGCTCTTAACCAACGTGCCACTCAGCCAGCCCTTGAGTTTGAATCTTGATGATGAAACTTACTAGGTGTGCAACTGTGGTAGCCAGCCTGCGAAGATGGCCTCCAGTAGTCCCCTGACACCTCCTGACATTCACATCCTTGTGTAGTCCCTTCCCACACTGTATCAGGGTTGATCTGTGTTCCCAACAGAAATGGTACATCATTCGAGATTAGATTATAAAAGACACTATGGTTTCCATCCTGGGCTCTCGTTCTCCTTCTCCTTCTCTCTTGGATTACTTGCTTTGGGGGGAAGCCAGCTGCCATTTCAAGCAACCCTATGGAGAGGCCCAGGTGGCAAGGAACTGCGGTTTGCCAATGACCATGTAAGTGAGCTTGGAAGCACATTCTCTAGCCGTAGTAGAGCCTCAGATGCCTGCAGCCACAGCTAACACTTTCACTGCAGCCTCACGAGAAACCCTATGCCAAAACTATCCAGCTATGCTGCTCCTGGATTCCTGAACCACAGAAACTGTGAGATAATTCAAGTTTGTTTTAAACCACTAGGTTTTGAGGTAGTTTGTAATGCACCAATAGATAATAGTACACCTGAGAAGGGATGGCAACAGCCTAGGATTTACAGTAAGAAAATTTGGGTTCAGGGCTGGCCGAGTGGCACGTTGGTTAAGAGCTGGCTTGGGACACCAGAGGGCCCCGGTTCGGATCCACATATGAGGGCCAGTGACACTGCCCTCTACAGCTAAGATGCTGAACAACAGCTCAACCTGGAGCTGGGCTGCCATGAGTCTCTGGCGACAGTGTAGGCTGCAGCCCCTGCTGCAGTAGGTTGCCATGGGCTACCGTGTGTAGCCAACAGCCAGCGTGAGCGGCCAGCAGCCACCGTGAGCAGCCGTCCAGAAGTCGGTGACTGATCTGCCTCACCAGGGAAGACCGCAATGATGGTGCCAACTTGGGCCAGTGAAGCAACGTCCTCCACAACTAGACTGAAGAACAAAAGGACAACAACTTATCTGTTCCCCTTCCCCCAATTC